CATATATTATATATATTTCCAGATATACAACATATTTAAAACTCTCACTCATACCTTTAACAAGTGTCAATTTTCTAAATTATATGTTTTTATAAATTATTATTCTGCATTATAATAATTGCTTTCCATTTTCACATACATGATATTGACAATAAGTCTAAAATTCGAGGTTTATATTCAGATAATAACATTATTATTTGCTTTCTTTGGTGAGGTTTAGTTATTGGTTTGTATTCAGCATAAAAAGCAGCTTTGCAATTGTTGTAAAAAAAGATTGATCTTGCTCTCAGTTTGATCTTGCTCTTCATTGGATCTATATAAATATACAAATCAACCGTATTAAAAAAATTTATAACTGTAGCAAAGTGTGCTTTTTCTGTTAAATGAAATTATAAACCTATCATTATATAATGATAGGTTTATAATTTCCCTCGTACTTGCTCGCAATCAAAGCACACAGTTTCGAACTTATGCAGATTGTAGATAATAATTCAGTTGAATCTCACTTGTCAGAATGAAAAAAGAATGTGCATTCAACAGTCAAGTAATCTGCATTTTGATATCAATAGAAAACAACTATTTTACTCTTTATTATATTTATTATATTTATTATATTTATTCTTTATAATTAAGGATAATTAAATTTCACTCGGAGATCAATGCGTCTACAAGTAGCCAGACACATTGCTATGGCTCGCCATATTAAACATTTTTAAACGTTTTTGTATATCTGAAGACACGATAGTGTCTCGGCGCTAAGTATGGCACGTGATAGGAAAATATCATAAGACTTATAATCCTGGCTGCACTCTTTTGGATCAGTTCATGATCTGAAATAATAGATAAAAATATGTAGCGATTATTCAATATTTTTGTAAATGTTAATGTGTAATTTATATAATACTCATATTCATTTGTGAAATTTACGTTTTAGAGAATTCAGAAATCCTAATTTATAATTATGTATCATTATAGAAAGCACAGCATGAAATTAATAAACAGCCGCAAAATTCAAAATAATGTGTTTAAATGAAAAATCTGAAACTCACCCAGAAAGTGATAAAGGTAGCATCCTTTTGTCTTGATCTAAATTGAACATATTCTCTAAGCATGCAAATTTGTTGGAATTTATTATCTTAGAGTTATTGGACGAGTTAGTGACCCTTCATAAATAAGATGACCTGTTGCCAAGTTGCATATCGTCCATTGGTGGCTACTGAAAAATAATGTATAATTTCATTCTTGAAAATTACGTTTTTCATTACATTTTTCAACAATGCTAATTGTTTCTCTTATGTTGCTTACATTATGAATCATTGTTAAGCACAAAACTTAAAAATATAAATTCACTGCTTTGAGTATACAAATTCTTTGCATTAACAGTGAGTTTGTGTTTTTAAAGAATGAATTGGTGTTTGTGTGAAGCAGAGAATTTGTTTTCAAAGCAGTGAATGTGTGTAATTAAAGCAGAACGTATACATAGCATATTGAGTGGAGATGACAGACATCTTAATCTCTAAAATATCAAATAATACTTAATATCTCGATTCACGAGACCGACCGGCGCATTTTTTTACCAGATTCTTTCATTTTGAGTGAAAACGCATTGAATATTTTTATTAAGATTTTAGGTAAGGTATGGTATTCTAAATAATTACCTCAATATTAGTCTGCTGTCTTTTCAATTCCAAATCCTGGCCAATCGTTAACAATTTGCATAAACGTTTCAAATTATCTTCGTTGTTATGATCTAGTAGATGACGAATACATCGGTATATGATTTTCGTTGTCAAAATCTGCTGTAAACTTATATAGATTTTAACAAAACGAATTGATACGTTATACCATTCTTATCTCTGAGATAAAAACTCATATTTTGGTTTTACATAATCATAATGTTAAAGCCTCTATTATTTACAGGATTGGCAAATACTGTTACTTTATTGATCGTTATCTCTGTTATATTCGATTATTAAAAAAGTCATTCTTTATTGAAAATAACTCCTAATTTGTAACGCGTTACTTTTTACTCGTTACGTATAACTCATTACTTATTATTCATTTTACTAAGAAACGCGTATTGGTGACAAGTTATTTTTCAAAGTAGCTTTTCCAACTTTAGCATTTAGTTAGTTAGCGTTACCATCATTAAAAATTGTCATTATTAAATTGTTTATTATAAAAAGTAATGGAAAAGTAATGGAAAATTCAGAACGTCTTCCAACCTTGATTATTTATCCTAAATGCAAATTATCACTTTTATTTATTATAATATAAATATATACTTTTTATATGTCCTTTTATATGTAGACGGCCCTTAACAATTTCAATATTTTTAATGTACAGAAAGTACGCATAGCACTAGAGAGAATCGCATTCTAAGAAATAAAGTATTTGGTAATTGTGAAGGAGACAGATTTCTTCATAGATTTCGATGACATTAAGCTTATTCAAGCGTTTTTACACGAAATGTAAAAATTTAGCAGAAAAAAGTGTCGCTCTGCCCCGTGAACCGAGATATTAAAGCAGGGAGCACACTTTTGCATAATGCATAAGAAAATGTACCAATCAAAGTCTTTCGTTTCCTTTCTTTCCATGAAATAAAGAATTTTGATTGGTTAAATTTCTTATGCTTTATGTATTACGCGTTATGCAAGAGTCTGTGCTTCCCGCTTAAGCGTTAAAGTTGATGACTATTGAGGAAATCTGTCACAATAGTGGTTCATTACTTTAAAAGCACAAAATTCTCTGCTAAAGTAGTGAAGTTTGTGTTTTTAATGCATTAATGATTTATTATTTATTTAAAAATTATTTATTAAAATATTATAAATTCATTGCTTTAAAAACATAAAATTCTCTACTGTAAAAATAAATTCTCTCCTAAAGCAGTAAATTTGTGTTTTTTAAATCATTATTTATTGCCTTAAAAATATAAAATCAATGCTTTAAGAATACAAATTCTCCACATTAAAAACAAATTTTATGTTAAAACAGTGAATTTGTATTTTTAAAGCAGTGAATTTATGTTTTTAGACCAAAATTATGCATCCATTTTTTTGTCGTACGATAAATTTTTCAAGTCTGTTGATTAGCTATAGAACAAAGAGAGCCGAGATTTTCTTTGTCTTGCAACCAATAAACATGCTTGAAAATTCGTCGTTCGACAAAAAACCGATGTATATAATATTGGCCTAATACATAACATATCAGCCATTAATAAATCGCATTGTCGCATTGACTCTTTTTATACTTATACTACTTTTTATACTACTTAAATCAATTAGTATGTACGCGTATCAAATTGATGCGGATTAAATATTTGATACGTCCTTATTTATACCGCTTTGACGAAAATAAGAAGTTTTATAAGTATTTGTTTAATGTTTACATAAGCATTTACAGGAATTCGTTGAGAATTCAGAAACGATCAGTTCATAAAGCGTTCATAAAGCGAAAATTGCAATGCTACAACGTTTGGAAGGCATTTTCTGATGAAAATAAGAAGTTTCATGAATGTTTATTTAATGTTTATATGAGCATTTACAGAAATTTATTGAAAATTTAGAAACGGCCAGTAAAGTATTCGTAAAATGGAAATTGCAATGCTGCAGTGTTTGGAAGGCATTCTCTGAAAATAAGTTTTCATAAATGTTTGTTTGATGTTTACATGAATGTTCAGTTCAAGTGTTGAGTCTGCTGAACGCAGATATTTTACTAAAAAAAAAGGTACAAAATTTTTTATTGATAAGTCTCATCATACCGCGCTTTTTCTCCTATTTGATGTGTTTTTTAAATGCGAGAAATTGAATTTCATTGTGTCCTTCTAGTGCCCAAGTTGTGCACTACTTGAAAATCGGATATGTAAAAGAATGTTTGCTAAATGGAGAAGAAAAACGCTTGTGTTATGGAGAAAAACGTTTTTTTTTGGATTTTTAAGCCATTTCATAAAGCCTTACAAAATGTTTACCGAAATTGAATAATTCTGTTCCACATTGGAACAGCGTTTGTTGAATAGAAGAAAAATGTTCTAACGGTATTGAGAAAAGCGTTTGCTAAATGTTTGAAAAATCTGACAGTGAAACTCTCTACACGAAGGCGTTTACTGAGCATCCTTTGGAAAGCGTTACTTTAACATTACAGAACTTTCATGAAACGATATATATTGTATTTTATAAGCGTTAAGTATTTAAACCCAATGATGTTCTGTAAGCGTCTTATAAAGTTTGAAAACATATAAACTCTTAAAAAATCGTCATCGAACAGTTGTCAACGTTTTATAAAGTTCCGTATTTTCGCCAGGGCGATCTGCCTCAAAACAAATCAGGTTAGGTGACATGATATCTTCACTTTCAAGATGTAAAACTTCTAATTCTAACTTGAACTTAAAAGCAATGGCGAATTTTAATATACGATCCAAAACGAACCAAGCGTTTACAGCACGCTGAGATTCTTTAATATCATTTGATACGCATGTTAGCTTGGTCTGATACTCACGATTCAGAAGTATCAAATCAAAATAATCCACCAGCGTTTACATCAAGCCTATTTGGTGTGAATATGATATCTAGACATTCCAAACATCCTTTGAGATTTTACTATAGTATATATTACGTGCACTATATATTTTGAGTAAAATTTTCTTCGGAGAGGATGTTTTGGAACATAGCCTTAATATGCGTATCAAGTGCTTGGTGTAAACTAAGCCATTGCACAGATTATCTAACCTTTAAAATATTATATGTAACGCCTTATGATACATTTCCACTGAGCGCGTCACGCGTCGCATCA